GCTGCCACTCTGTAAACTATTTTAATTTCTTGAGAATAATATATAATCACATATACATATAATATAATTAGCAGAGATATTTTTAGCAGTCAGGCTACAGCTCTCTTGATGCAGCTGTACCTGCATTAATTTTTAAATTAAACCTATTTTCTAGCCATGTTCCTGCTAAGGTATTTAATCAGAGTAGCATCGTGGATAGCTGTAGCACAAATATTTGTAGTTCTTTACTGACTGATTGTCTAAACTAGTGTTTCCCAACCTTTTTCTGACCGTGACCCCCTTCCAACCTTGTTTCCTTCTCTGGCCCCCCATGGGTGTATAATAGGCTATCCTGGTCTCATGAAATCAATGGAGTCTTTACCAGACACATAATTCAGAGAGTAGCCTTAGCGTATGCCAAATGTAGGAGAAGGGTTGAATTTAGTGGAGGATTCAATAAATTTACAGAGACTTCTATACAGATGAGTGAAAGAATGGGAAGATTCAGTGTTTCTGTGCCAATGGTGCAGCAGGAAAAGAAACAGATGGGTTGTTGTTGTTTTTTGTCATGGCTGTTAACAGAGGCGAGAGCAACAGCAAAGACAGGGAGCAAGTACCAGGATGTCGAAGGAGGCAGGGATTATAGATGAAAGCTGAACTTTAGTCTCATTGCCTTAGGTAAGCTATAAATCTCTCTGCCTAAACCTCAAAACGGATATGACATTGGCCACAGGCAAAGCATTGACTTACGCAAATGTAAGCATGCACCCCTCTAAATTTAAATTCGCTTATCACATGACTAGCAGCATAACCACCGCCCTACCCACCCCCCTTCCTGGGCTAACAGTCACCAGTATGCTCCATGTAACTAGGCCAGGCCATGTGGGATGCTTAATTTAAAGTGCATTTGAAATTGATGGGACGTATAACATTGGTATGTGCTTATCTCGTGGTTACCAACACATCTGTTTCAGCCCAGATTCTGGCCCCATCTGCAGCATGGAAATAATACTGCCTGGCCTTACAGTCAGGATATATAATTGCGTGTCGAGGTCCCCAATCCACCCCCCAAAATAACTCACAACGGACACGTAATTTTTTGTTTAAGATTTTTGGCATGATTTTGGCCACAACTTTATTAAAATACAAACCGTGAGTGGTTGTTTAGGCATTGGTTAAGACTATCTGTCCCCCCGCCTGGGGACAGAACTGACTTCCGGGCACCACCGAAAGCCAGTGTGGGAAAACAAGTCGGGGAAGAATTGGAGCTGAGTCACAGACCCTCAATTCTCACCCGCCTGCTCCCCGAAGGCTTGCCGGCCCTAGTCCCATTCCAGGGATTGGATGAAAAGATGGCAAGCCCCAGGATTCCTTTAACGGAATTCCCTTTCCACAGCAACCATGGAGGGGCAGGCCCAGCCTATCCTAACCCCTCCTCCACCAGATTTATAACCAATGCCTAACCACAACCTTACAAGTTGTGACGATTTGCTACGCAGTAAGCAAAAACCACCCAGCCAGCCAATTTGCCAGGTGGAAAAATTCCTACCAGGCCCCTGCTCAAAGGCAGACAACCCCATGACAGGCATAGCAAGGTCAACGCAACAACCCCTTACTCTAGGGCGGGTGGGTGGGTGATCCGTTGCACGCAGCAAAAGAGAAAGTACAAGGCTGCGTGCAGAGTATTTAAACCTTTTACCCCTCCCACCAAAATTGCAACATAACTTTCCCCCCAGCAACTCAGCAATCCAATCACTGCCCCCTGGCCATCTTGGAGAACTTACCCAGCAACAAAGGGGGTGGCTCAGTAGACCCCACCGCAACACGTGCTCTCCCTGAAGGAGAACACGCTTTGTCATGAAATATTGGGCAGAGCATCCAAACTGGGACTGAGGCAGCACAGAGCAACAGGTTCGCTGTTACGTCTGCAGCCTAACTCTCTGCTCATCCTTCCATCCTTCATCCAGGAACCTTCTTTCCAGCCAGGAGGTAAGGAGCAGTAATTCACCACTGCTTTGCTGCACCAGTTCCAGGTTAGGCAAGTGGAAATTGTAGTAGTATCTGATGGAAGCGAAGCTATTTGAAAAGGGAAAATGCAAACTTCCTAACGGCCTTAATCGTAATTGAAATAATAGCCATTTTCCACACTTGATGGACTATCAACCGAGCAATAAATATGTGAAATTTTAAAAGGAAGTATCTCTTTCATCCTTTTATATTATTGTTTTTTTCTTTGAAAATTCCACTTTTCATTGTGGGAAGATTGCAGGCAATTGAAGATCTAATCCAAAATGTACAGCTCCTCAGGCAGAGATGTACTCACAATGTTTCTTTTACTTGAAGAATCTTGAGTTTCACACCATAGTCAAATACAAGCAAAGTAAACGCCAAACATTCTCTTTGATCTGTGGAAATCATGCTGAAGGATAGAGAACACAAGTGGTTTGGCTTTTTTAAAAAAGAAATTACTAAACTTGCCAGGCGGGGGGGAGGGAGTTGGGGGAGAGAGGGTCCACTAAAGCCTGTCTGAAACAGGGATGAGGCACAAAGATTCCTGAAAACAGGGCAACTCATAGGATCCCTTCCGACCTCAGTGACCAGGTACTGCTGGAGGCAGGGGTGAGGGAATACCTCATTTCTCTCACTTCTCCACCTTATGAGGAAACTATTGCTGAAGAAAACCCGAACCAAGTCCAGCACCTTCGCCCACAGCAACAAGAGACGACACTTCCCAGCAAATCCTCCCTGTTAGTCCAAAAGAAACCTTTCAGGCTTGTGGTTGTGGGCTGTTGGCAGCACTAGGCCTTTGAAGTTGTTCACTAAAGTGTGAAACGAATGGAAGTCATAATGAATTAATAAAACATTTGGCTTTGGCTCTGACAGCAGGGAACTTCAATTCCTCTTAATTACTGCGAATAATTACATATATAATGTTTCAGTGTTCACTTTGGCACCCTAACGTTTAATTTCTAGAAGTATTTTGAACACATCTAGGTCAAATGACAGGGCTCAGCTACCAGAGTAGGTGTCTGACAGCATAATACTAGCTCTTCACAACTGGATAGCTCAGTTGGTTAGAGCATGGCGCTGATAAGACCAAGGTCACAGATTTGATCCCCATACAGGACCGATGTATAGGCTGTACTAGGTTGTCCTAAAGGTTCCTTCTAACTCTACAATTCTATGATTCTGTGTTTTACTCAAAAGGAGGTCCCACCAAACTCAATAAGACAGACCTATAAGAAATTAACCTGGCCACATTTTGACACAAATTTGAGTCTCTTAAGTGCGGGTGGGGAATTATATATATATATATCCTTCACACCAGTGGTTGGGAGTGGCCAGAGGCAGCAGTGGGTGGAGCAATGGATGTGATTCTTATCTTATTCAGTAGGCAATGTTCTAGGCACACAAAAGCCAGAGGTTTCTAAACACATACATATACACACATTTCTCCAGGAAGCAGGAGGAACCCTCAGTGTTCAAGGACTCAGTCCAGCTGCTTGCACTGACCCGGCCTTGTCACTGCTCTGCACCCTCCCCCTCCCCCTCCCAGTAAGCAACAGTGATCCACCTGCCAGGAAGCTAGCACAGGTGCTCCGCTCCACCCAGAGAGCTGCATATTTACAAAGACAATTGAAAATACTGTCTTTGAGAGTGAATTTGATGCTACTGTTTACTTGTCATGGCCCTGGACCCTGAATACTCAGACTTGGAGTCCCTGATGAGTAGTAGCTGCAAGAGGGAGATGGCTCACCCTGACCATACTTCCTAGCACTGGTTTCTGTACCAGACTCTGAGGATGTTCATTTGCCTACAGAGGATAGGAAATAACTACCAACTCTTCCAAGGATCAATAACAGTCTTGAGGAGCTTCCACCAACAGAGAACCCACAGCCCCCAAGCTTGCCACCCAGAAAAAGCCAAAAGCAGCCCCAAAGGAAGAAGACCCTGTCACTGGCATGTGGCACCTCTGAGAAAGCAGGCTTCAGTCTTGATCTTCCAGTGCAGACTATGAGGCTCTGGCAGTTGCAGGAAGTCCGTGCTGAGGCAACTTGTTCCTCTGGCTCTCCATTGCAGAATTGTTGACCGTGGTCCTGAATCTCATGTTCCAACCCAACATCCTTGTTCCTGCCCAGTGTCCTGACTTCACTCTAGCATGAAGCCAACTTTGCAGTCCTGGGCCTCTCCCACATCTTTCTTGGTCCGTTGCCTCTTCCCAGAGTTGGACACAACTAACATCAAGCTGCTTATCTGAGTTAATGAGAACCTTTAATGATCTGGTAAACTGCAGAAGATTTTCTGCTGGGCACTGGAAAGATACAATTGGCCATTATTATAAAACTGGTTCAGCTTGGATGGCGACGTCTTTGAAAAGGAACAAAGGGACTCATTCGAGGATTTTAATAATTTGACAAAACGAACAGTTCAAACGCTGCATAGTCATGTGTAACATGAATTAAAAGGTCAAGATTTTTTTTTTTTTGCAAACTATGTTTCTAAAATGACACTGCATTAGAATCTTTTTTTAGTAGCAACGCACTTGACTGGTATATCAGTTCTGTGATGAAAAATCAGGTTCATAATGCCTGAAGAATGTCAAGGTATGCAGCTATTCATAAAGTGATATAAATACTGCTGACAGCTATACCAGTTTTTTAAGGACTCTCACCTGATGTTCATCTCAGAATACTTATTGGAAGAACACATTTAAAACTGTGCCCTTCCAGCTAGAGGACCTATGCCTATTAAGCAGGCTTCCATATGTGTATCACTAACTGCATGGAAATGGCATGCAACTATGTGCAATCTCAATGCTGCCTGCACACCTTCCTTTTCTGCTGGAGCTGTGCAAACAGAAGATAACATTACAGTGATCATTTGGGAAGGGAATCCTGTTTCATAGGAACATAGGAACTGCTCCATGCTAAATTTGACCATAGGGTCATCGAGCTCAGCACTGTCTACACTGCCCATCAGTAGCTCTGCAGGATTTGACAGGGTTCTCTTCCAAACTTATTTGGAGATGCTGGGGATTAAATCCGGGACCTTTTGCATGCAAAGTAGATGCTCTACCACTGAGCTATGGTTCTCCTTCAGTCCCACTGGTGCTTGTGTAGCATTTAGAAAGGTGTCAAGCCCTGCCAACAATCAGAGCTATGTAAATCTGAATGAGATCTCCTTTTCTGAGGAGGACCCCTGCATGAACCAAGACCAGGGGAAACAACACCCAGAGGGAGCTCCTGAGATTGCAACCCAGAACAATTCGCCACTGAAGAAAACTGGGAAAATGTGACCTAGCTGGTTGCATCTCTGACCATAGGCCCCCACAGTCACTACCATGTCATCATGAATGGAGTCAGCAATGAGCCTGAAACAAAGCATTGCCCTGATACCACAGCACTCACTTGGTAGAACAAGGGCTCCCATGTCTGAGTCTCACTCTAAGTATGGGCATACCATAGTATTCCAGTAGGCAGAGTACTTAATAAGTAGCCTCAGCTGCTGCCCAGAAATTGCTGGTACAATAACCTCCATATACCCACTCCTAGTCTAGCTGCAATATGGACAGTGTCTGTCTCTTATATTTCACAAGAAGCAGAGATTTCTGGTCCACACTACAACTGAACAAGGTAGGACAATTTCACTTTGTTTTCTCTATGAAGGTTGGAACGGAAGCCTATAGAGAACTGCTACGTTCCTCAACATGTTAAACCCCACTGAATGTGCTTGTTATGTTCAGCACACACTATGTGCTGCATGTGTTAGTCCACAACCCACATTCCAAGTAGGCTTCTCTACAAAAGGCATCGCTAGATGATTTTTCACAGTGTTGCATCATAGATACATAGGAGGCTGCCCTGCACAAGTCCAGCCATTGATTTATCTAGTTCAATGTTGTCTGCACTGACTTGCAGCAGCTCTCCAGGGCTTCAGATAGGGGATGTTCTCTGCTTTTACCTGGAGATGTCAGAAATTGAATCTAGCACCATCTACAAACAAAGCAGATGCTCGACCACTGAACAAATCCATTCCCCAACTTCCTTACTTTACATTTCCACTGTCAAAAACCAGTGTGGTGTAGTGGTTAAGAGCGGTAGTCTCGTAATCTGGGGAACTGGGTTCGCGTCTCCGCTCCTCCACATGCAGCTGCTGGGTGACCTTGGGCCAGTCACACTTCTTTGAAGTCTCTCAGCCCCACTCACCTCACAGAGTGTTTGTTGTGGGGGAGGAAGGGAAAGGAGAATGTTAGCCGCTTTGAGACTCCTTCGGGTAGCGATAAAGCGGGATATCAAATCCAAACTCTTCTTCTTCTTCTAATTCAAAACTTTGATTTCCCCAATCAGCTAACAGTTTCACTGCTATGTTTTGAGTAAAAAGATCCTTCTGTCAAGAATTTTCCAGATAATTAATTAACAATTTGACATAAAGACTTAAATAATTCATGCATTATTTGTGTGCAGGGCATTGCCTTGTTGGTACTTTTAGACCAATACCCAGCATCCAGAAAATACTCCTCTCTGCAACAACTGCCTGTTGTGTGAGGTTGTTCACGGTGAAAAACCCAAAGCCATCCCTTAATTAAAAGCCACCCATTTGAAACATTTTTAAAAACCCATTTAAGTCTTCATAATGGACTAGAGCACACAGAGAAACAGGGAAATCTTTTCTCCCATAATGAGTCTGGGCTGCATTTATCAAATTAATTATATGATCCTATCAAGGTTTAATGTGAATCCCAGACAGGAATCTATGTTCCCCTCTACTCTAGGAGACAAATTTTCTAACTTAATGAAAGCTGAACTTTTTTTATTAAAAGCAACAAAACACAACATTTGGTTATTAATAACTAGAAAATTCAAGCTTGCTCCTCACTTCATATGTGAGGTCAAAGTACTGCAATCTTCAAAGTAAGAAAACAACACCCCCCGACTGCCACAGGTCCAAAATTAAGAACTCTTTACCTCTGTGGAGCAGCTGCATGGATATGACATTGATTGAATTAGAAACAATTAACTACACATTTCACAAAGTCCTTAATCGTCTGGCACAGTGAGGTGAAGTGAAACGGATATGTTGTTGGTTGTTCAGCAAATGATATAATTGTGCAGATATGGGGAAAGCTGATTATTTTCAAAACGGATGAGTCTGAATCCATGCTAACAGTTATGCTTCTTAGCTTCGCATAATTACTACACGGTGCTGTGTATCATGTTGTGCCAGGAAAAAAGGTGGAGCCCGTAATACGCTAATGGCTTTCTTCCTGGGCAAAATGTAATTAGGTGCAGTCTGCATAATGCACTGATAAATTTGAGAGTGCAAGGAGGTAGAATTGTTGCATGGAGCAAGGGTGAAAGGATAACTGAGACTGTGTACGCACCATACAAGCCAAGTACATTTAAAGTGCACACACACACACCAAGAACCCTGGGAACTGTAGTTCATGCCTCATAGAGCTGTCATGAGTTCGGCCTACACTCAAGTAGGACCCTGGCAGAGACACATGCCCGACTGGCATGTTCCCTCCCTCCTGGTCGATCGGGAGCTTCAAAAGCTTCCTTCAGCCTGAACATCACAGCGACCAATGCCAACTGACACCGGCACACTTAGGGATCCGCAGAGTTTGCGCAGTTGCATAACAGACCTCAGCAACTCAGCATTTTGGCTAATCTACTTTATTTACATATAAACACACACCGAGCACTGCAACATGGCTCCCTCTCTCTCTAGCATCAGACAGCAAAGAGAAAAAGAACAAAGGACAATAGTCCCACTTTATGGAACACAGTAACACAAACATCCTGTCTCTGTCACTTCCCACTCTGTGGAGTCAAAACATATACCATCATGTGAAAGACAACAATCCCATGACTGCAATCATGGAGCAGGAATTCTAACAAGAGCTACAATTCAAAGCATCCTTAAACTTCTGTTCCCAGGATTATTTGGAAGGGAGTATGCTTTAAACGTATGGTGTGTATGCAGTTTATTTCTGTCAGTGACTTAATACATTCAGAAAAACCTGTGCATGAAATAAACTGCATACACACCATACGTGTGCCCAGCCTGGTGATAACAGAATATATGATGCAAGGCAGGAGCTGCAGCCCATGACAGGAAAAAAGGTGAGAAGGGAAGACCTAGCTACTTTAAATGAATTCAAATCTCCAGGGCCTGATGAGCTGCATCCAAGGGTACTAAAGGAGCTTATAGATGTAATCTCAGAGCCTCTGTCTATAATCTTTGAGAATTCTTGGAGAACAGGTGAGGTCCCTGCAGAGTGAAGGGAGGACTGAAGAGAGGCAAATGTTGGCCCCACCTTCAAAAAGGGGAAAAAAGAAGACCCAGATAACTACCGGCCGTTCAGCTTGACATTGATAACAGGAACAGGTAATTAAGTGGTCTTAAGAAAGGATGCTGTGACTACTAGGACCCAGCAAAGGTTTCTCCAAATTAACGAAGTTAATTTTATTCTACACTTAGAATATTCTATTTTTATTCTTCTGCACTTAGGCAGAAATAACCAGCTGCACCACCTGGCTTGTCAGTAGTACACGCGGAAAGGATCTAGAGTTCTTAGCAGACCACAAGCTTAACACGAGTCAACAGTGTGGTGCGGCAGCAAAATAGGCTAATGCTCTTCTAGGCTGCATCAACAGAAGTACAGCATCCCAATCAAGAAAAGTAATAGTCCTGATCTATTCTGCCTTGGTCAGACCCCACTTGGAGTATTGTGTCCAGTTGCGGGCTCCACAATTTAAGAAGGAGGTTTATAAGCAGAGTTTGGCTGCCCATCTGCCATTGACGTTTTAGCTGAGATTGCTGCATAGCACGGGCTGTCCTAGATGACCATCAGTGTCCATTCCAACTCTACAATTCTATGATTCTATGGAAATGTTACAGAATTGCAGTCCTTAGTTCATTTACACTCAGTTCAGTATATTCCTCCTTAATAATATTTTAACGGCAATTAATATATTTTTTTTAAAAAAAATTCTGCATAAGTTAAAAAAACACAACCAAGCCCAGATATTACTACACTAATCATTGGCATGTGGTAGTGCTGTATCTCTTCTATAGCTCTAACAATTCTAGTTCCAGTTCAGGCAACTGTGATTCACTTGTATGTCCAAGACATACAAGTCTTGAGCCTAATTTTCTTTGACTTTGCCCAACAGCTTTTCTCTGTTTCAATCATTTAACATAGCTGTATATTTTGTGATTTTTTAAAAAAAGAGCACAATGGTGTGTTATTCACAGACAGGTCACATATTGGCAAAATCTCTAGTGTGTGCAGACTGCCAAAGTAATAATAGAACCCTAGCTATTTATAATAGCTATAAATCAGACAGAGCGGCTATAATATTCGTTCTCATCAAATTAGATGGTATCTGCAACATTCTGTACGATGGAAATATGTGGGCAGGAAGCATGGCAGCCATTCAAAGGCAAGAAATAAAACTATAATCAGATCACTTCAGAGGCCAGTATATATATAAAAAATGAAGATCAACAACCATAATCAAGACCGAGAAATCACATAATAATCTGTGTTGCTTTGAAGGGTCAAATTATCTCATAAATTCTCAGAATTTGCTTTGTTCTCTGCAATCAGTTATCAAGGATAGGGTTAACTGTATTTAATTTACCACTGCTTTAGCAAGCTAAACACATGTGGAAGTGATATACTAGGAAGACCCAAAGCAATTTCTTTTCAGCTGATTCGGTGTCTCCCCGTGGACTAATATAGTTTTCACTATTATAAAATGCAAGGAAAGATAAAGAGACGGGAGCTCTATGGGTAGGCTGACAATTGGGGGCTGCAGTCTACATTTTAGGAGTTATTAGGCCAGAAATATGAGGGGTGTGTGCAGTGCTCTTTTTATGGCAGTACTGGGGCAAATTTAAGCTCCTTAATTGTTGGGTAGTGTTTTTTTGGGAGGAGGGAGGAGATGAGGGAAGGAGGAGAGAGCCTCATAAGAGCCTCATCGTTGGGGGGATATGAGAAAGGAAGAATTGAGGGCCAGCAGCAGTTAGAAAATGGGGGGCTTATTTTGAAACCTGGCTACCACTGCTGCTGCCACCTCCCAGTCA